GGGGCACGAGCGGGCGGGGGCGGAAAGAGGAGGGGGAGCGGGTGGACTAATGATGAAAAAGTCTCCTGCATCCCGGCTCCTTAATTAAATGCATGGAAAGAACCGAGGCGAGCACATCTGGTTTCAATCTGCAGCCCTTTGATGGCATCAAATGTGCTTTTCCCAGATCAGGGCTGGGAGTTCTGGGCTCACTATGGCCGTTTGGAGCCCAGAAACCATTTACACACTCTCGGACCCTTCTTTCTCTCCAGTCGAGCCTCTCGGCTATAGGAGAATAGAAAAGGAAAAAAGTCTAGTAATCAAGGGGGTGAGGAGTGTGTGTGTGTGTGTGTGTGTGTGTGTGTGTGTAAGGAACATAAAACGCCACAAATAAGCACTTAATATTTTACTTACTCGTCATATAGTAACTCATTTCTAATGAGACTATTAAAGCTGTTACCAAATTCCAACAGGTCATGAAAAAATCGCTCGGCACCTCTCTGTCCTCTGTCAAGCGAGAGCTCACGGACAGGCGACAGAGCGTTATCCGCGGCGGCCGGGCTCCTTCCCCGCGCCCCACGCCACGGCACCGGGCGGGACCCCGAGCCGCGCACCAGGCTCTCGGGCGAGCGCCCTGCCTGCTCCGCATCTGGGCAAGCGACCTTGGCCCCACCAAAAAGGCTACGAAATTGGCCGGATTGTGGGGAGAGGGGAGCAATTATGATAGACTAGGATCCTAGAGTCCTTTCCTCCAGCTAAATAAATATGTAAATGTCCTACCGCCTGGGGCGGCGGGGGTGGAGGGGGGGGTTCGTAGCGGACGCAGGGAGAAGACTCGAAGAGACCCTGTGCTCTCTCTCCATCACCTCCCCCAGTCTGCCTTAGTCCGCGGAAGAAGCGCGGGGGAGCCCCGTTATTATCGCTCCTGTTATTTTATTGCGTTATTTAATAGGCTGTCTCTACGGAGCCAGCGTAGCCCGCGCACGCTCGCTCTCTCCCACGTCTTCTCAGGCGCTCCCCACCCGCCACCCCTCCCCAAAACTGTTGGAACAGCAAGGAAGCGTTGACAAAAATGAAAAGGCAGAGGGAGAAGAAAATTTGATTGAGGCGGTTGTGGATTTTTCCCCCAACAAGTTTCCCCGCAGCTGTTATCAAAACATGCAGATGAGTTTTCCGACAGGATCTTAAGCGAATCCGGAGGAGTTAACGCAGGAGCAAGACAATCAGCCCGTTGGAAAGGACTGCGGGTTTCAGTTCGTCTTTCTTCCCCGTGATACTATTGCAAGGGAATGATAATTAGACCTTTACTTAAAAAAAAAAAAAAAATCCGAAGGGGCTCTCGCGCTTTCTCTTCCCTCCCTCTTCCTTCCCTCCTCCCTCTCTCCTTCTCCCTCTCTCGCTCTCTCCCTCCCTCTTTCTCTCTCTCTCTCTCTCTTGCTCAGATGTTGGCAAAGGGGTTTTTTTCTTAATCAGACTGTTTTTCGGTCCGAGGGAAAGGAGGAAGAAGGAGATTGCGATGGAGAAAGGGGGTCTGTAAAACGTCAGGCGCCGCACAAAGGCTTTGCCACGTAATTACAGGCTCCTATTAAGTCGAGATCTGCCCTCCCAGGGGTCTCCAATTTTCTTGTATTCCCTACAAAGCCTCCTCTGCATGCCAGTTTGTGCCTTTTGAAGTGCCAGAGCTTCTTGATCCAACCGAGAAGGGAGAAGGAGCTCGGCGAGGAGAGGGGGAGCGCGAGAAGGGAGCGGGGGGAAGCCCACCACCACCCTCCTCCGGACTCCTGAAGTCTTTTTTTTTTTTTTTTTTTTTCCTCCTAACGAAAAGTAAAGTGAGAATCCTGCTCTCCAATACATCTGCAAGACATCACCCTCTCCTCCTGAAACTTTAGTCACTCCTGAGAATCCGCAGGAGTGCAGAGAGGGGGGACACGTTTTCTCGAAGATGTTTTAAAGCTGGAACAAGCCTTCTTCTGTTGGTGCTTGAACTCTTGCCTGGGAATAACTTTTTTAACCTTTAAAAAAAAAAAAAAAAAACCCGCTGTGATTCTTCTCTGCCACCCCTCTTCTCGCTTCTCGTTCGCCTGACTCCCCCGCCCTGCCGGCCTCGGCTCTGCTCTCTCCCCCTTACTGTTATTTTTAGTGTGTGCGTGTGGACGCCTTTGGAGAGGTGGACGGAATTTTTTTTCTCCTGACTTGAACGTAGGGTGACTTTTTAATTTTATTTTTTTGGTGTGGATTATCTCTTTGGATTGCGCCGGACTTGGCCTCAGGAAGGCAACCGAGGCTGTTAAAGGCTGCGGGTGGAGAACGCTCTGCTCTGCACTTTAAATTTACTATTCCAATTCCTTAAAATGTCTCAATGTCTCAATTCTCTCTCTTCTCTCTCTCTCTCTCTCTCTCTCTCTCTCTCTCCACTCCCCCCTCTCTCTTCCCCACTCGGCTCCTCTCCCCCCTTGCGCCCACAGCGTTTGGTGTTGATTCGAGCGGGAAGAGGGGGGTGGGTGGGATCGGAGGGGGAGACCATGACCTCCAGCTACGGGCACGTTCTGGAGCGGCAACCGGCGCTGGGCGGCCGCTTGGACAGCCCGGGCAACCTCGACACCCTGCAGGCGAAAAAGAACTTCTCCGTCAGTCACCTGCTAGACCTGGAGGAAGCCGGGGACATGGTGGCGGCGCAGGCGGACGAGAGCGTGGGCGAAGCGGGCCGGAGCCTGCTGGAGTCGCCGGGACTCACCAGCGGCAGCGACACCCCGCAGCAGGACAGTGAGTGAGGGGCGCGGGGCCGCGGGGCTGCGTGTCGCGGACGGAGGGCGGGAGTCCGGGCTGGGCGGCTGGAGCCCGCCCGGGGCCAGGGGAAGAAGGTCGGGGACAGACGAGAGAGGTGGTGGCAGTGGCCGGAGGAAGGGCCCGTCACAACCAGGGGAAAGGGCATGAGAAAGGAAGGCGTAGCCGGCGCGGGCGCTGGAGGGAGGCCCCGAGGCCCTGCAGTCGGGGTCAGGGACACTGCCCGCCGCGGGTCCTCGCCGAAGCCTCCTGGGCCGCCGCCGCGTCGCGGGCGCGCACGGCCGCCGGATCTCCCCGCTGCAGGCGGCTGGGCTGGGCTGGGCTGGGCTGGCGAAGGCTCCCGGAAGGGTGCAGACTCGGGAGGCCGCCCTGTTCGGAAAGGCAGCGGGGCGAAGATGCTGAGCCCGCCGGGAGGGCTCCTCCCGGGTGGCGCATGAGGGTGGATTCGGGGGCAGAAGGGACAGAGGAGGCGAGTTGTTTTTAAAAATAGGCACAATTTTCAAGATAAATAATATATATGAGGATCTTCTCCTAAAGCTCGGGAGCTGCCCTCTGCCGCCTGCCGCCGCTCCACCTGCACGTGGGTCGGAGAACGACTCCTTTGGGGGGACCCAGCTCCCGGCCCGCCTGATCTCGCACCAGGGAGACGCGCAGCAGAAGCGCGGCCTCCAGTGTCGAGCCCCGTGTCACTTTCGAGAAACTCTCCCTCTCGGCCCCGAGACCTCCAGAAAACTCCACGCACGGTCTCCCTTTCCCGTCCGCCCGGACCAGGGAATGTCGCCTCAGGTTGTTAAGCGCTCTTTAAAACGCGACTCCAAGCGTATCCATACCTCCCGGAATCTGTAACAGACTTGTCACCTAACATCTCAGGTGACATGGGGCTCAATATTTCCTCCTTGAGGTCTGCAAGGGCCTGCACTTGGCTTGCAGTTTCGAAATGAGGTTGATCTCTTTCTCTGTCATTATTCGCTACTGCTATTTTGTCTTCAAATTTGGAACCTGTGGAACCAGGAGGCTTGCCGGCATTCTATGGTTTTGAAAAAACATAGCTAATGTCAAACTCTCAGCAAATTGATAGACAAAGCAACCGGACCCAGAAACAGCTGGAAGCAAGGCCTGGCAAAGTGGTGGCAGCGGCAGCCACGCCAGAGCAGGCCATGGGGAGAGCCCCTCTCTCCAGCAGGCTGCCTACGCCTTACCCTCCTCCTTGGTCCAGGCCTGGGTCCCCCTCAGTGTTTTGCAGCCCAAAGCAAACTAGGGCCCGTCTACCCTCCTACTGGCAGAGGCAGAGGGCAAATGGAGAAGCCTTGCCTGGCTGGTCAGTAGGGAGAGATGGCCAGCTCTGAGGAATGAAGACCCAGCGTCCCCAACGGCCTGGTCAAGGCTAGGCACCGAGGTGGGGGTTTCCTTGTGAAGGGTGTTGGTGGGGGTGGGGTGTGCTGCTTGTGCTGCGGGCGTGGTGGGCAGGTCTTATTAATTGTCTACATGGACACTCTCAACTCCAAGAAAATGCACTGTGAAACGTGACTATTTTTAAATGTTTTACTAGGGGAAATTTAAGCATAAGAGTAGGGAGGATGGTATTCTGCATTTCCACGTGCCCGTGGCCAGCTTCACTAATCCCGCACATTCTGCTCTTCCTGTTTCACCACGGCTAATGATTAATCGCGGCATTTATCACTATTCGGAGCACTGCAGGCTGGACCTACGACAAAAAACAGGGTCCCGAAGAACTGCCGCG